AACATTAATGGTACTTCTTTTTAATTTGGGAAAAAACGGGGGAGGGAGGTGAGAGGGTTTTTAATATTTTCACCGCACCGTTTGGGAGACTGTTTACCAAAATAATAATAATAATTATTATTATAATTATAACATCAATAATAATAATATTAAATCTGAAAGAAGTCATTCAGTATTTTTTAAAAATGAACAAGGGAACGAAGAAGCCACCGGGGTCCTTTGAGGGGGGTGACTTGTTGGGTAAATGCAAGAGCTAAAAGTTAAGATTGCATCCAATTTTGGGGTGGTTTTTTACCACTGGCATGGCTTCATATGCAGGTGTAAGTGACTGTAGGTTCGTGCAGTGGAAGAAAGTAGTGGAATTATTGACAAAGGAGGTAATAAAGGATAAGCAGGGCTGTGAGAGAAAAAAGCATTGTAAACATGGTAATTAGCCAATTTCTGGAAATGTTGGATTTTGGGGTGGAAATAGGGGGTCTGGAACTTCAGCTGCTGAAGTGTTGGGTCTCCCCCAACATCTCTGATGGGGAATTCATAACGTTCACCATAACAGGGACATAACAGTGAAAAGCACAAAAATGAGAGTGGATGAGCTCTCAAAATTGGGTATTTCCCCACTTTTCTGACCAATTAGGTATTTTCTTCCCTTGAAGAATATTTTCAAACATGGGAAATCAATGGGAAAGTCATCTTGTTGGGCTGCACTTCCAGTCCTGGAGCTGTGTCCCGTGCCAGGCTGGGCTTTATGAATTCCCAATCCACCAGAGAGTCCTGCTTCGGCAGGCAGATGTTCTCCCCAAAACAACAGATGCCAGTCAAGAAAATCACCCCATTTTGTGCTTCAGCCCATCCTTGTGTCCCAGCCTCAAGGTGGATTGTGCCTTAGAGATGCGAACTCATCCCGTGTCCCAGCCCTTCTCCACAGCCCCCATCCTGCATCCCCCTCTTGCTCTGGCAGCACCCTCATCCCATCATCCACCGCCTTTCAGGCTGGCCTTGGTGACAACCTGCTTCAGCTTTGGCTCTGGGACAAGCAGAGCACCCCATGCATGGGAAGGGTGCTTCCCTCTGCTCCTGCCCTGCTCCCACAGAGGGCAGGAGTCAGGCAGGTGCAGTTTGTGGGTCCCTTCATCTTGGCTATGCTGCTCGTTGGTGCTCTGGGAGCCAAACTCTGGCTCCCTGCTCCCTGTGGCCATGGGAAAGGCTTTGTACCCGTGGGCATCCCTCATCTGACCCTGGGCATGGAGCCCTTGGGGGAGAGGGCTCAGCAGTGGGGTCCTCCACAGCACTTTGGCTGGGATGGGCTCCCGGTGCTTTTCCCCCACAGCCCACACCAGGGAAGCTGTGTCATGGGGTCAGGACTTGCTGTGGTGTGTCCAAACATGGGTGGCAGAAGCAGGATTTGTCCTGTGTCCCCATCCCCATCTTTTCCTTGCCAGGGCTCTGGGCTACCCCCAGTGTCCCTGTGCCACCGAGCAGCGCGGTGGGGACCAGGACATCATCCTGCAGAGCTTCTTCCCACCAGTGTCTGTCACCATCACCCCACAACTGCTGCTCTGGTCTTGGCTTCCTCTAAAAACCACTGGGAGAAAACCTCTCCAGGGGCAGCACTGGGAGCAGCTCTTTCAGCACATTTGAGTGCCCCAAATGTGTTTGGTCCCCACAAGTGGGGACACGTAGGGAGGTGCCATTGAGCTCCAGCCATGATATTTCTGTTTCTAAGGCAGTGAAGGTGGATGCCATCCCATCTCCAATCCCTTTGCTCCTGGGGGGATGCTTCTACCCCCTGCTTTTTGCACCACAGCATCTGGGGGGTGGGAAGGATGGATGGGGCAGGGGGGGGCAGAGAGATTTTGTGTGAGCACTACTTATTATTTTTTTAAAACAAATTGCTTTTAAGTGGTTTTAGGTTCTTTTGAATAAATAATAATTATTAAAAAAATAAAAGGTGCACATCTTGCTGCTGTAGAGTTCTCAGAGGGTTAACTTCTTTATAATATATATATATATCACAGTAAATATTTGTATAAAAACAAAAGAGAAATAGAGATGTCTTTAAGTAAATTATTGCTTTTAAAGAAACTTCTATGATTGTACAGTGTTACCTGGGAGAATAGAATAATATAACAGATGTATTTTTAAACTGCTGTGTAGGAGGATGTGAACTGGGACAGGGAACACCTGTGGCTGGCACAGTGAGGGGATTTTGGACCTTTCCCTGCCCCTGTTCACACACGCCCTGCCCCAAGCCCTGCTAGTGAGGGTCTAGCTCTGCTGAGATGTCCTATATCTACTGTATAGTCCTTGTCCTGACCATGGACCACACCGGTACATAGTGTATAAATATTATTTTTGCCTACCTGTGAGAGCTCAGAGCTACTGGTCTTTTTTCCTTCCACCAGGGAGCAATGGGAAGGCTGCCCCAGCCATAGCTTAAATCCCATCAATTGTCAAAGAAAGGAGTAAAAAATTAAAAAGAAAAACAAAAAAAAGGTGGGAAAAGCCCAAGGTTCAGCCCTTGATTTCCTTAGAGGGCTGGAAAGGCACAGGGATGCTTTGGGGTGTGGGTTGTTGTGGGGTGGAATCCCTGTGGGAAGGGGCTGGGAGAGGAGCAAGGTGAAATGTGCCCCCCCACCAAAAACAGCCGCCGGCCATTTCCTTCAGCCAGCCAGCTCCAGCCCCGGAGTTCACTCCGGTGTCACACTTGATCCTTGGGAGGAGGGAGCCGCTGACCCCTTGGCAGCATCCCGCAGGATTGCCCCGCGCCGGGGCTCGGGGGATCAGCAGCAGCAGCTCCCCAAGCCGGGGGTCGGGGCTGGACCTGCCCTGCTCCCGTTTGGCCTCACCCTGAACAGCTCCCCAGTGAGGGCCGCAAGCAGCAGCGTCCCCACACCCCCCAAATCCACCTCTGGGAAGAGCATCCTGTGCCCTGGGGGGGGCCGGGGGCCATCGGGACGAGCCTTAGCTTCTCATCACCGAATTAGTGCACTTTGTCTTTTTAGGGCTGGGACAATCACTTAGCGCTCAACCCTTTCGCGATTCGGTGCCTGCTTGACCTTCAAACCTTTTGTAGGAGATGATTTCAGAGCCACACTTTTCTAGCTTTAATAAGGCAGAACAAATACGTTTATTTTTAAACCCTCCTGCTCTTCCCTTTCCTCTCGTGCTGACAACCAAAGAGTCCCCTCTGTGTGTGTGTGTGTGTGTGTCCCCTCTCATTTACTGCACACAGAAACGAGCGTGTGGCAGCTGTGGCTGTGTCCAGCACTCCGGCCACATCCTGCTCTCACCACCCCCCGATTCAGGAATGCTGCCACGGGGGGGTTGGCACAGGGCAGGATCCAGGAGCAGGGACAGGACGTGGGGCAGTGCCCAACCCGATGCCACCCATCCCCTCGCCCACACAGCTGTGCACATCTGTCCTGCTGCCCAGGGCACCTTGTCCCCTCCATCTCCCCCCCAAACACACCCAGTGCTCCCCCAGGCTTGGCCCCACGTGGGTTTGGGGACAGAGGCCTGGCACCAGTTCACAGGGCAGGTTGGCAACTGGGAGCACTGGTTTCCCAGGGATGAAATGCTGAGTCTGTTCGCTGGGGCAGTGGTGGTAGAGAAGCTGAGGGATGCAATGAAGGATCTGTACCTTTTCCACCTCCGGTGTTTCTCTGTCTCATTGCACATATATTTGAGATATATGTGACAATGTATATATATATTTGTAAAATGTATTTCAGATGACAAAACTGGCCAATTTTATGTTATTTTAAATATATTATATATATTATATATAAGA